TTTGTGCCTTAGAAGGTTAACATATGGCCGGTCCATCCAAACCCGGGATTGTGTGCTGCATATTTAATAATGCCCTACCACCAAAGCACCGGCCTCGGAGAACATCCACACCTCTTTCTACATCCTTGTCTAGGACAGACATTGACCTTCGGACGGCCTCGTCTCGGGACGATCTCCAAGGGCCGAAACGCTGGCTCTTTCAGCCGCTCGAGCTTGTCAGGACTTTCCGAATGGGTGTGCTGCAGGAGGAAGGGCGCCTGGGCAGTGCAAAATTCGCATGCTTCGGTCATTGATTGGATTCAATGGTAGGGGTATCGTTTGAGCTATTACATGATCTCTGACTAGCGACACCAGCGATGGTACTTGTCGAGCGGAGCGGTTGGGTAGCCTGATGGAGGCGATGGAGGTGATGGGGGCTGAGCCGAGTTCAATTTCGCGAGAAAGTTGCTTAACCGAAGGTCCAAGTCACCAACCAGTCACCATCATGCTCCTCTAGACAAATGCTCAGCATTGTATAGCAACCTCTCGGTCGGTCTTAGTCTGCAGGACTCGACCAGCGCGTCCCATCTCCGCAAAGTCGCCTGATTCAGCCCGAGACTCAGCCTTCAAATATGAGACAATTCATAATGGCCCTTTCGTCTGCTCGGCAGGCTTTTGTCAGGCCACAGAACGAATCTATAGGAATAGCATGCGTCTTTGCCCTCCACCAGATCTGCTCTCGCTTGGCTTGGAGGATTCGTGTATCATCACCTATGGAGTTGTGAAGACCTACTGTTGCGATGTCATCTCGATCTCGGATTTCCTCTACTAGCAGCAAGCGCTTCTCTGAGAAAGATCTGTGAGTATGGGTGTTTCGGTGAATGACCACTTTTCGACTCACGACCCCGTCTTCTTCCTAGGAAGGCAATAAAAGCCTCAGAGATTGAGCAAACCAGATTCAGGAAGCTGGTTGCAACGAGCAAGATATACTCCCAGACCGAGAAGGATGCCGCCGATATTTCCTCGGTCACAGACTTTTATGCATTCTGGGACAAGACCGTCGAAGCCAGGAAGGATTTCGAAGACAGCCACGAAAGGGGATGCGGTCTGTGGACACGGAAGTATCAGGATGCCGCATCCGTGGTCCGCAGCTTCATGAAAGACTTTGCTCCCATCGTGGATGTTGTGAAAGACTTTGCTGCCCCTTATGGAGGGTTCGCTATGGGGACGATTTCCGTTCTCTTCGCAGTGAGGCTACTCCACTTGGCTCTTCCAAGGATGAGCTAACACAGGTATCAGGTTGCTGCGAGCAAAAACGAGATGGAAGCGTCACTCGCATCAGCCATTGCTGAGATTACCGATCGACTACCTGGACTGAATCTGTACAAACACATCTACAACGACAACCACGAGCTCGACATAATGCTTCAAGGACGAATCGTCTCCGCCTACGAGATATTCATCGAGTTCTGCATTCAAGCAACACAGTATTACAAGCGCAAGGGGCTTCGCAGGTGGCTCACAGCCTTGGGTTCGCCTAGTCATCTTTACGACAAGGTCGCGGAAACACAAAAGGTAATACAGGAGATACGGCGCATATGCGATGAGCTACTCGACAAAAATATCCATCTCATCAAGCAACTGAATCTGGAACAGAAAGAAACCATTCGGAGTAAGTACTCCAGCAGGCTCAAGCTGGACCGCTAACAACGACAACACAGGGCTGGAGGAACAAGTAGATCAGCTGTTGAAAGCACAAGACAATCATGCCCTCACAGAGATCCAGCACTATCTGGGCCTCTCCAGCTTCTCGAGCGAGAACCACCGCAAACAACTCGAGCAATATCGCCGAGCTTTGTACAATGACGACCACCTCAATGCCCCCTACTTTGAACAGATGCAGGGCAAACGGCTCGAGGCATTCCGTGCCTGCAACGACTACCAGTACTGGAGTAACTGCCCACATCCGTGCCTATTGATCCTATCAGGCCACAACGACAGCAGCATACGTTATGTGGATCACTGCTGGGCCTCTCCCGTGGCCATGACCATGATCACCGATCTGACTAACAAAGACAACGACCATATCTATGGGTACTACGTCTTTTCTCCCCGGGGCGAATCGCTCTGCCACGCCTTCTCGGTCGTCCTGTTACAACTACTCAGCAAGAGGAGCATATTGCTGCGCAACAAAGACCAATGCGATGAATTACGCGCCGCGTTGAACGATCTTCGCGAACTCCAGGCCACAGAGGGGAAAGACTCCCACCATCGTCATCACCACCATCACCAACACGAGACCATGAAACTGTCGACATTCGAACGGGTCGTGCTCCGCGCGATCGACTTCTTCGGCGAGTCGGAGCAGGTGCACATCATCCTGGACCGGGCGGACCGGTGTTGCGACCTGGTCAAGGGCGTCGACCACCGCAAGTCGCTGTTCAAGCTCCTCGTGAAGCTGGTCGAAGTCGCGCGGTGTAACCTCAAGATCCTCGCCGTCGTCAACGGCGATCAGTGGGACATCGAGACGCGGAAGGACGAGCTGGGACACAGGATCGAGGGCAGGGTCAGGATGCACACTGCCGTGCAGGGCATGCGTGACTAGTCGCCCCTGAAAAACCAGGTCTTTTCATCCCGGATCCCAGACTAGATTTGGCACTACAACAGAGATCCTCGAGGTAGGACACTAGTCAAAAGTTGAATGCATGCTATGAAAAAGCCGGAGGACGTTGATCTGGCAAATAATGTATATATAAATGATTGGGAAGTACCCCACCTGGTAGCCAGGCCGACGCTGACTCTCCCCCTACACGTGTGTGTGTGTGTGTCACCAGATAAATTGCTACCCCTAAACAATCCGGTACCATCGAGCGAGCATCCTGTATCGAGTAAGGCACCACAACCACCAAAACATCTGCTCACGGTCCTGAGGATGCCTCTTCTCGAGCCAGATACTCCTGCGTCTCCTTGATAGCATCGTAGCTATACAACCACTGTAGATACGACGGGCTCGGGAACGGCGCATGCATGTTCGCCGGCGGACGAGACTGCGCCCTCCTCTCCTCCTCGGGCCGCGCCAGCTCAGCCTCGTCGACCACGAGCTGTCTGGCCAGAAACGCGTTGCGGGTTTCGGCGTCGTGGCCGTTCAAAAACCCCACTCCGTCGTGACTCGCCGCCTGAATGCGCTCGACGCGCGGTTTGCGGAGCGCTTCGTACGCCCTTGTGGCGTCGGCGATGGGTCGGCCGGTTTCCCAAGCCCAGCCGACACATTCGGCGAGGACGGCGCCGTCTTCGATGGCGCAGGAGCCGCCGGAGCCGGCGTGCGGGAGCATCGCGTGCCAGGCGTCGCCGAGGAGGACCGTGCCACCCCGGTCGCTCCGGCAGGTGCTCAGGGGTGGGAGCTCGGCGAGGCGCCACTGTACGCACGGGCCGATGTTGGCCAGCAGGTCCTTGATGGTGGGACAGGCGTCCCCAAACTCGGCGGCGACTTGCGCCGGATCGGCCTTGATGCCCCAGTAGCCGTAGGGGACGTTGCAGCCGTCGCCGATGCACACGACCACGTCGTACGGCCTGTGCGGCGGCAGGGGCCACGACAGGATGTATTTCCCCGGCATGAACCAGATTTGGCTCGTGCCCTGCGTCAACAGCCACGCAAGATTCGGGTTCGACTCCATGGCGTCCTTGTCGACGGTGCACCGGTACGCCTTTTCGCCCGAGGGGATCAGCTCGACCGAGGCGATGGCAGGGATGGAGCCCCGGACTGCAGAGCGTAGGCCATCAGCTCCCACGATGAGGTCGGCCGAGAGGGCACGGCCGTCCTTAAGGTACACTGTGTTCGTGTCCACGTCGACACGGATGACTTCAGCATCGAACAAGATCTTAGTGCCATACCCCTGGGCGCCTTTGGCGAGGAGCTGCTGGTAATCCGCGCGGTGGATACTCCATTTCGGCGCCCCCCAGAGGACACCACTGTGGTTCCCTTGATTGTGGAAGACGGCACCCAGCCGCTCATGGTCCGCGCCGTCGCGGAGATCGATGTATTTGTTTTCCGTGACGCAGGGTTTGAAGTACTCCTCTAAACCGTAGGCCTTGATGACCCTGACTGCGTGAGAATCGATGCTGATGCTGGCACCGAATTCGTTCAACTCTGCTTTCCCTTCGAGGACGGTGACCTCCAGGCCCTTGCGTGACAATCCAATCGCCGCCGACAGTCCGCCGATGCCGGCACCTACTATCAGCACCGAATAGGGCCTTGTAGCTCGGTCAACGCTTCCCATTGTGGCGATTGATCAATGCAGACCAGGTCTCGGAGCGTACTTTGATGCATTGAGAAGAGAACAGATGGAGAGAATATACGTCTTTAAAGACCCGAGTGAGCTGCTTACCTGCCTGATCATACCTGAGTACCATCGTCAAGCATCCCATACCGTGTGGACATCTTGCCGCTGGTCAGATAAGGCCGCCTCTAAACCCGCCTGATTTTCTTGAAAACGGATTTTCTTCAGGGAAGAACGGGACCTCCTCGAATCCGCCGTCATAACATCGGACGCCTTATGAGAAGGGAAATCTTAACACGAGGGGGAAACAGGAAAGGGTCCAGAATGAGGTTGCTTGTACAGAGTACACTTATACAGAGTACCTCGTATGCAGCCAATCGAATTCGACCCCGTATGCGACAAACCTTGCGATCCTAGATAGACCAAGGAACGAGGAAGTAAGCGAGGCAAGCGAGGCCTCACAGGCCAAAATTGCGGTTGGTGTCCTCGCCCACCTTGACAGGACAATAATGTTGCTGATCGCTTCCCATTTCTCGACCAGGCTCAATAAGCGTCTGAGATGACAAGATGATCAATCACTCGCGTCTTTCATTTTGTACCTCATACTTTGAGACCAATCGGGTTGGTGCGACATGAAATCTTTCACGGGAGTGTGGTTAGACAGACCCAAGATCTAACTAAGTCTTCGTCTTCAATTCTTCCTCCGAAAACGCCACTTGCCAAACACGGCTATGCGAGAGCCTCTCATAGTTTGCTCTGGGGTTCATAGAACTTCCGACTCCTTTCAATGGCCTCCACAGCCTCCTTCTCGATTCTCGTTAGAAGCACCTGGCACGTTGGAATATCATGAATCAGCCCAATGACTTGACCAGCAGTCCAGACGCCGAAGTCCTTGTCTCCGTTGATGAAGACCTCTCGCCCACGCTTCCCGGACACGTATGGAGCCACCTCTTCAAATTTGCCGGTTGTGCTGCTCTTCTCGATCGCGACAGCTTCCTGGGCAACCTTGTTCTTGAATAGTCTGGAAGTGTTCCTCCATCTTCTCAACACGAGCTCAGTATCGTGTTCCGAGGCATCCACAATTGCTTGCTTGATGTTAACGTGGATCGGCGCTTCGACAGTGCACATAAATCTCGTGCCCATATTGATACCTTCCGCACCTAGGGCTAGGGCGGCGGCTAGTCCCTGGCCATCCGCAAAGCCGCCAGAAGCAATAAACGGAGCTCCGAGGGATTGTCTCGCTCTTGAGAGCAGGATGAAGTTGGTAATATCCGATTCACCCACATGGCCAGCACACTCAAAGCCGTCGATCGATAGGAAGTCCACGCCAAGCTTTACAGCGGATTGAGCATGTCGAATGGTAGTACACTTGTGAAGAATGATGATACCAGCGCCTTTCAGCTGCTTGATGACCGGGCCAGGCGAATTGCCTGCTGTCTCCACAATCTTGATTCCCTCATCGATGCAGACTTGGGCGTACTCGCCATAGGGTGGAGCGTTCATCGTGGGTAGGAGAGTGATGTTGACAGCGAATGGGTTCTTGGTCATGGTCCTGCATTTTCGGATCTCCTTACGCAGGTCCTCCGGGGTAGGTTGGGTCAGAGCTGTGAGCTAAGGGTCTGATTAGCACGATTGATAAAAGTTGTCGGATTCCACCGACTTACAATACCAAGACCGCCTGCGTTGGATACAGCAGATGCTAATTCGGCATATCCGACCCATTGCATCCCACCCTGGACAACGGGAACTTTTCCAGTGTTAGCAAGATATGCGCCAGACGTGCAGCTTCCAGAATATACCTTTAATGCCGAGCCGGCGTGTGAGTTCGGTGTTGAAAACCATTGTTGTTGTTGGTTTGGGTCGTACGAGGAGGCAGTCGGCGGTATTTGGGAGTTCGACGGTCCAGTCAGGTCGGCGTAGGATACAACAGGCGGGAAGGGACAGGGTAGGAGAGAAGAAGAAAGTGGATGTAGGTCAGAACACCATGCTTTCCTTCATATATCGATTCATAATTATAAATGACCGAGGTGATCACAAATTCCCAGCAACAGTTGGCGCAGGGACGCAGGGGGGCACATGGGGACAAAGTTGTGGGGAGGAGAGTCGAACCGCGTGAGTCGAGTGCAGCCGGGGACCGAGGCAAAACGTCCCAGATTGTTAAGGTCCGTTACAGTAAGATACACCACATTTTTGCCGACGGATCGCCGCATCAGGTGGAATAGTAGCTATCTCACCTGTCAGGTCAGCATCCTGACTCGTGGGCGACACCTGGAGAGTAGTAAGCACATCCACGCGTGAGTTTGCAGTTGGAAATAGTACCTAGGCAGTGCGTAGCTTGCTTGAGTGATTCTGAGAGAGGGGAAAGAGAGAACCCCGGAGCCGCAGTTGGCGTCTCGGGGCGGCAACATCGTTTATCCGATCTGGAGTACATTGTACCTCGTACTCGGTAGTTGCGCTCCAAAGGCAACACAGCCGCAAGTTCAACTATTGGTACTAGTAACCGCAACGTCGTACAGTACGTCTCATATCCGCCTGTTGTGTCGAGTATAAATGGAAGGGCGGTTGATGTAGGTACGTTTGGACTGACGAAATAGTCAATGCACGCTTGATGTCCATGAGAAAAAACCCCCGTCCACCACAGATGCTCTTTGGATGCATTATGAGCCTGTCTGAAGCCACTGTGTTAGTTGTGACATCTTCGCGAGGTCTTCGGCCGTAAGACTTGGTCAACGGCGATTGGACAACCGCCCAGCCTTGCCTGAGCCTCGCGAAATCTTCTGTAAGGAGGCTAGTCTGTCTTGGGAGCATCGAGGCATCTCAGTCATGATGCCATATTACAAGGGACACTTTCCACTTCCCGTCGAAAACCTTCGTATCCTATTTCGTTTACCACAACCCGTGCTCTTAGCCATCCATTTCATTGTACAATCATCAATTGTCCTCCGATCCCAAGGCTTTTACAGCCTCCAGCGATAGAACCCAATCCCAAACGAGTATTTTACGCTTTGGGCTAACCACACGCCATGATTCATGATGTTGAGGTGCTGTCCTGATTTGACAACTCTCGTAAAAGCATATTGCACTAGACCGGAAACAACCATGTTGCGCGAAGTGTCTGCTTGGCCTGTGCGCAGGTTGTTGTCGTCGTTCCGTTCCTCCTTGTTGGTATGAACAGTGCCTGGACCTAGTGGACATCATGGTTCAAGTTAAATACTCAGCCGAGTGACTTCACTCACCTAAGATCTGTGAGTGTCCATACTTGCACTGCGCCTTCTCTCCCTGCCCTGTACCGAGTTGAGGGACGGAATATATTGTCTGCAAGGGTGAGATCCCTTCTTGTTCAAAGCACTTTGTTGCGAGTCTTGCTAGTGGGCGTTCGTGATGCCGGTCAACCCCTCTCACGTCAATCCGCTCGATTGCAATGAGGTATCCGAACAATGTCCCGTCGAGGCCTCGATATATGGATATTATCCGACTCTGGGATCGAACGCCTTTTTCAGCGCCCTCTTTGGACTTTGCTTCATTATCAATCTTGGCCTTGGCTGGCGCTATAGGACGTGGTCATACATGACTGCCATGACCCTTGCCTGCATATCTAGCTGCATCGGCTACGTTGGTCGATGTCTCATGCACCGCAACCCCTACGACTCTGTCGGCTTCGAGATTCAGATTTGTTGCCTTACTTTTGCTCCTGCATTCAACGCTGCAGCGATCTATCTGATATTGAAACATCTGGTCTTACAGATTGGGAGGCAGTGGTCGAGAATCAGACCGAAATATTACACTTGGGCCTTTATCATCGCCGACTTTCTTGCCCTGACTTTGCAAGCAGCTGGTGGTGGCATAGCAGGGTCCGCTGGAGACGACGAGAGCTTTCGAGATGTTGGAGACAGACTCATGATCACTGGTATATCATGGCAGGTCCTGACTCTTCTAATATTTGGAGTGGCCACATCGGACTACTCATTAAGGCGATTCAAATCTCAGCCGCTATCCGAATCCACTCAGGCCTTAGTGCACGATTTGAGGTTCAGGGTCTTTGTTGTGGCACAGTTGATTGCCTACGTGGCCATCTTGATTCGATGCGTCTACCGGGTGGCGGAGATGGCCAATGGTTGGCGTAACCCAATCATGCAGAATCAAGGCCTCTTTATCGGACTTGACAGTGTGTTAGTATAGTCCCTTCCTCCATACTTTGACAAGGCTCTGACGGCAGATCAAGACAAATTGGCGTCGCCACGATCCTTCAGACATTTATTCACCCAGGGTATTTCTTCCCAGCACTCGCAGACTACGGGGAACGGAAGAAGGCACGAAAGACAAGCAATGTCACCGAGGATGCGATCCACAGTGAGAGTCACATGGACAAGGCCATGGTTTAGACCGAGCACGTGCGAATCGATAGGAGATGAGGCTGCCCACAAGTTGTGTGCTCAAATGTCGCGGGTTACTGGGAGTAGAGGATTTATCTCGAGATGATGTTAGGCTTGAATACAAGTATACAGTTAATGATAAACCAGTGTGATACCAGGGGCATGTCAGCCTCGTGACATGGACAATCGAATGCGATGTGGTTCACCTCAAAATGTCTTGGCTCGTCGTCATCTAGACTCCGACTTGCCGATGCCCGCAACTCTGCCTCCTCGCTCCAACATGTGGTGAAGTTACACGACGTGATCCTTCGACCTTCGTTTCCGTGCTTTTCAATGCGCCGTAGGAGTCACTCTTCTGTTCCGTGCCCAGGTCGCTCTCAAGTCTATCTGCGATGTGCGGTTTGAACCATGGGTGCATCAGAGTCGAAGTTGGTATTCAAACAAGGCATCTTCAGGCTCTCTGAAGAGAGGAACATTGCAGCCAATGACCCGTACTGGACAAATGTGAGGTGCACGATGGCTTTTGTGAGGTGGCGCGCTGATAGTCGCAGTTCTGGGAGTTACCTGAATCCGTCGAGGATGTCTTCAGTCTCTTTTCACATACCGACATTCGCAGAACCCGAGATTCCGCGCTCGAGAACCTCGAAACCCTCATTCTAGCCGTTACATCGCGCCTGATCGTGTTGAAGAACCACCCCTCGTTTCCAGATCCTGATCTGGCCCCGGAAAGGGATGCCCTCAACTGCATACGAGTCCTCACCCGTCTCCTCCCATACGTCTATGAGGCCGACGACTTGGCAGAATGGGAGGAGAAGTTCTTCTGGGGATTGAGGCGGCGCCGGACGAGAAGATCTCAAGTATCGGGTGAAATACTGTTCGACGATAATCAGACTGAGGAGAATACCCCTACAGACAATCGCGAGCCCGAATTCGAAGATGTGAAGCCACTGGCGGAAGAACTCATAGACACATTGATCGATCTCCTCTTCTACGCTCGTTTTACGATACCTGAGCTACCACAGGCAAAAAGCAAGGTCACGTACGCAATCTGGCAGAGTGGTGTGGGTTGTAAATCCTCCATCCCAACGAACAAAGAGCTCGAGAGCAACCGGTGCGAAGTCCTCAGGCTTCTCCTGACCCTGTCCAGCAAGGCCATGTACACGCATTCCAATGTTCTCCCTGTTCAAGGTGTCAGGGCTATCACATACCTGGCCACATGTCCAGACAAGCAGATTGTTCTCTCGACGTTGTGCTCTCTGGTCAATACCACGATCAAATCTAATCTGGGTTCATGGCGTCTGCCTTACGACCACGTGGTGCGGAAGGATTCCAAACAGACTCTTGTCGTCTATAGCTTACAACTCCTCCTCGTCCTTCTACTATACCCGGTTCCCGAAAGCGGAAATGGCCCAGCCCCTAAGAATTTCTACCGCCATTATCTCGGTCGGCTACACAGACCGGAAGATTTCCAGTTCCTCGCCGATGGCATGACACGAGTTTTGAGCCAGCCGATGCATGCGACAACCTCATATTTACCTGGAAGCCAGAAGTCAGTCAAGTGGGCGCCAGAAATGATCATGCTCTTCTGGGAAGTACTTCAATGCAACAAAAGATTCCGGGCTTTCATCATAGAGTCCAATCGCGCACATGATTTCGTCATCCTCATGCTCTTCTACGCCATTGAATACAAGACGGACACGTCGAAGCAGGGGATTGTGAGGATGTGCGTCTTCGTGCTCCAAACCATGAGCGTCGAATCCACCTTTGGGAACAATCTCAACAAAAAGTTTGAAGCACAGGATACATTACCACCATCCATTCGTTTGGCAAATTTCAAAGGCACCTATGCGGACTTCTTAATCACATCTATCCACACGTTGATTACAGGGAGCAAAGGTAAACTCGAAGCCATATATCCTGCCTTGTTGGCCATCATTAATAATATGGCCGCCTATGTGCAGCATCTCTCCCTGGCTGCAAGCACTCGTTTGGTACAGCTACTGGTATCAATGTCAAGCCCAAGTTTTCTTCTTGCAAATGAGAGCAACCATGTCCTTCTCCGGGCGCTGTTGGAATCTATCACCACTATGATAGAGCACCAATATGCATCCAATGCAAACCTGATATATGCTGTCTGGCGGTCAAGGAGACGCATTGAGGCCTTAAGACTGTTTACGCTAGAGGGCGGTCAGGCAGAGATCGAACGAGCTACTCAACGGCGCAAGGAGAGTGCATTGGGCGATAATGCAAACGGCATTTCCAGATCATCCACGCTGGATAACGTGTCTACGCCAGAAGCTCGCGGTGGCATGTCACCACACCCGGACAGTGCAGTGGACGGCACGTTCGCCATAGGAGATTCGGACGACTCGGATAATGAAGAGCCACCAACTCCTTCTCAATCGACCCACTCTATGCAGACATCTCGCACACCATCGATAGGGTCGTCTTCTGTTGTTGATGATCACG